TTAAAAGTAAACTATTAAATCATTAAGAGTATCTAAAGGCTGACATCTATTGATCCTTTTCATTCTGTGCAACAAATAACTGCACTACATGACTACCAGTAACTTTAATCAAGGATTAATGCTTATCATGGTCGATTAGTAATAAAGCAGCCAACTATGATTGAATACATTGTTGCACCTGCTTGAATTCATCAATTTCCTTGTATTCTTATTTGTCAGGAAATAAAAAAAAAGCAGTTTCCCGTTAGGCGCATAATCTGATTATGGTTAGGATTTAGCAATCAAGATCGCTCATTTTAAATATAAAAAAATAGAAATCAAGTTAGGATAGTGAAGCTCAATTATCCTTGCTCATGCTTAATTTCACTTTATCCAACTTGATGATATTAATTCATTCGTACTATTTGCTTATTTGCATCTGATACTCATCATTTACGTTAATTACTGTTGTTATGAGTATTATAATTGCTACTATTATTTATCATTATTAACTTGAAAAGTGATCATTTCTTCATCGATGCTTACACAAATTTTTACGAATTACGTCAATAACAGTACATGATAATGAAAATGGGTTTACTAAAGATATTGGCTTTCTTTTATCGTTGATCTTTGCCATTTTAATTGTTTGCTATATTTATGATCCCAATAGATCTATTCAGCTAATAATCTAATGATATATAAGCTATTAAATTTAATGTTTATATCGTCTATCGTTATCATTCCCTGCCTATATCATCATTAAACAATGAAATCGTTATGCATCTGTCGGAGCTGTTCTAACATCCAATTCTTCATCATTTATTAAATATTAAACATTAAATAACGTGATCATTCACTTTTTAAATATTAATTATACTAATCAAGTTTATTCTACTATAATTCTCTTTCATTCTTGCTATTAAGTAATCCACTTTTCTTTATTTAACTGGCATAATGCATAATTTATGCGCATTTCTATCGATATCACTCATTATTTATTGATCTTTTTGCAAGATTATCCGTTACATTAACTTTTTTCTGTCAACAATTATAGCAACAAACTGCTGTATTTATCTATAGCTAAAATAATCGCCGTTAGTAATCTGATTATGCCGGAAGCCAAAGTATCGATTAGGATTATTAAATAAAATCTAATCATATAAAATACAGCAACTTAAGATCGTTGTTTATCCTTTTTTAATTTATAATAAATACTATTTTTAATTTTAATTATTCAATTTTATATTTACTAAGAGTTTTGTTGATAATAATATAATCTAAATGGACATAAACATGATGTTAAGGTAGGGTTCGTGGTAGTTTATCTTAAAACTTTAAGAAACATCTATACAGGACGATAATAGAGATGGAGTACAGTAGTACATCCATATATATGATAAATCATTTTCTGTTCAATTACTCCTTTTCAATACCTATTTTTAATCTAGATAGATCATTCGGTACCTATGGAAATAGACCAGAGTCGTAAATATAACTGGCTATAGTACGTATATCTTTAAATTTATCACAATGTAATCATCAGAAAAATCAAACAATCATTACCAAACAGTTAAAATTTCGATATCGATGTTAACTAGATGTCCCAGTACAATGATTATTATGAAATCTTTGATGAACAAAATTATCAATAATAATTATATGATACTACATTATATATTTTTAAACTACAAATAGCGGCTTTAGTCTATGACTTGGATTGCTTTACTCCTGTATTTCGCTTGCAGTCATATTGGATCTAATTAAAAGGAAATATGAACTAGTAAAGGATAAAAGCGGTCTTAGTCATAACAATCGATAATAGTAATGTTTTTCAAGTTATAGGCTGTATTTGCTCTGAGAGTAGACTTTTATTCATCGTTGATACAGAAATAAAAAACGCTACATTTTCTTTGTAATCTTTTAATATATTAAAAGAATTATAGTGCTTTTTATGTGTAGCATGAAATCACCTACATTCTATTTAAAGACACTTATTATCGATCTAAGGGAACAAACTACAAAAATGTTAAGATAGTGGTAGGATTAAAGATAACAAGTTGAAGTATCACTATTTCGTCTGTTTGATATAACTATTGTTATAACCTGCAAAACTGTTTAGCTAATGATTTCGTGCTACAGTACCTTAATTTTAATAGTCTAGTGTAGTTTACTGTCAGAAAATTATACTTGTATTGATTATACAACATGTATCGATATTATTAGCAAAATCTTTAGTACGCTATTATTCTAGTAACCTCATCTTAGTAGATAATACTTACAAACTTTAATATTTCATCAGAATTATTCATTATTAATTTTGACTTGATCACTCTTAATTACTTTAACCGATTTATGATAAGATTTATTAGCAGCACTGTATGAAACTGTATTTTGACAATTTGGTCGGAGTTGTTGCATTATATATTTTGGTTTATTATTTTCAAGGCATAAAAATTAAAAGTTGAAAGCAGTGCGTGTAAAATTTCAACGTATTTTTAGTCCCGCTGATGCGATTTGATACTACGCTGATACGGTCATTTTCTATATCATTTATCCCTCCCAACTTACGTCGATAATCATAACAGATGGCTACATCATCGTCAGAATAGCACCGACATTTAAATAATTGATCAGGTACATAAAGGTAATAATAATGATCTTGGATGCAATCATGCGAATCATTACCGAAGTCTTTTATTTCCGATAAAACTATAATAATTTCGTAGCATTCAAAAGAAAATTATTAAACTTCTATCATTGAATTTTTTTACTATATTATCTATTCTGTCTCCTAATATCTATGAAATATTATCTAAAGAGTATATAATAAACGCATCCATAACTTCTCATACTACAGTATTAAACAATAAGTATCAATGATAATAACTGTCATTAGTAAAACGATATAAAATATTCCTAGAATATATTCCTATCATGCTGGTTTAATATATCGTCTGTTGACATATTTTCTGTTAAAACGATGATACAAGAATCCTTCATTGACATGATCTTGGTGTCAATTATTATAGTCGTAAGGTAAAACTAAAAGCTGGATATCCTTGAATGTCGTTATTATTTATTTCCTGGTTTCTGGGCCCTAAATCTTCAATCCTTAATAAATATTTTAATATTATCGGAAGCTAAAGTATAATTAAAAGGGTAACATCAGCGCTAGCAAGTCAAATCAATTTTCTACTGGCGCTATTGTAGATTGATTGACAATAGATACCGTAGGGAGAACAACTTAATTAAAATTTATAGTATTCAATCTGATTGTTTTATTATTTACTTTTATACATCATGATCGTCATTAATGCAGCAACTATTCATACTTTAACAGCTGCAGTACTTTATTTAATCTACGCATAAGCAGCGGTTAAATTAATTTTAGTCTTTAGCTGTATTATATTAGATTACTACTTTACTTCGAGTGAACTTACATTGAGAAATCTATCTAAACATAGTTAATTAAACTAATTCAGTACAATTATTTTAAACTAATCTCTCTCTCATAACCCATTATTTAATTGAATTCATTATTAATCAACTGGACTGATATAGAAGGATTACCGTTAAAAGAATGCTTAGAGATTAAACAAGATTTGGTATTAAAGATCGGGTTTATTGATAATTAAATCCTTCCTTTAATCTTAATAATCAACATTAAGTTGAAGGCTACTTTTTAGGCTTTTATTCATTATTGTCTAAATTATAATAAAATAGTAAATGTAGGGTAAGCAAAGAGCGAACGGGCTACAGTATTTACCCTTAATTTTAATGCTTTATTGCGTTGGAAATAATCAATTAGATCATAACTGATGTAACCTTTACTCGTAATTTAATAAATAAAATGATATTATTTAATTAAAACTGTGTAAATACGCAACTAGCAGTTGAGTTAATAATTTGATTCATCATTACTCCCTCACTCGCAAAATTAAACAGAGATAATTGAGTTAAAAGTGGGAATGTACATTGTAATATTATTTTACACGCTGCCTTGTATCAACTTCTTTGCATTATATACTATGTATTATTATATTGAACGTATAAGTATCGATATAAGTCAGCTTTTCTCTCTTAATAGACCTAAGACTTTGATTATTGTCACAATAATAAAGGGATCAAAGTTGTCTAGACCCCGTGGTTGAGTACTTTTAAAACTACAGCTGGAAAGTATTAATATTTGAATTCATACCAGAGTTATATAGGGATGGTAGTTAAAAAAACTTCACTATTATATAAATCATGACATAATCATCCCGACAGAATACCTAAAAGTTGCTATGATAAACTTCAAGTTAAAGCATGAATAAATCACTAGAAGGTATCTTCACGAGCAAATTTATTCGCATTTAAAAAGTACATTAAAAATTATTATGATTTCAAACAAATGTGAATAACCAAATGACCCGTGTTGATGTAGTTATTATGAAGATAAGTTAGATTTCAATCGATCACAAAAATCAACGTTTAAGATTTATCTGTTATAGACTATACGAGTATATGAATACAGCTTTATATAGATAGTCGACTTATTGCAAAATATCAACGACGGATTATCTAAACGAATGAGATTAAATACATTATGTACGAGCGCTAAAGCCAACTTTAACGGAATGGATATTGTCAATGGAAGAAGCTGAATATTTTAACTACAGTATAGAGTAAAGCGTATACCTAAATAATAGGTAAACGATCAAAAACTTCAACCAACTGGAGCCAGTATTTTGAATATATACTGTTACTGAAAGTAGCAGCGGCAGCAGTATAGCTCATAAAGCCGACGTTAAAAGCACTACACAATAAAGTCATCACATTGGAAGGACACTACCTTAAATTTTTATGAGACATTCTATACTGTACAGTGTAAGTAGAGGTTCTCTATATTAGACCTCTACCGTACACTAGTATATATATTTTATTATTATACACAAAGTTACTTTGATTTGACAATTTCTTATAATTTACAGAACTTGTTAACAACGAAAATCGGTCTTAATTAACATAAAATTGGATTATCTTTGGTGCAATATTGAAGAAAATTGAAGAATTTGTTTTTCATTAGTGTCTAAGTTTCGCAATAATTGGTTATAATTTTCTTGTCGTGATTTCAAGTGAGCACCAATGATAGAATTCTTAAAAGACAATCTATAAGTAGAAATTGCGAACAAAACTCAGAAAGTCATTTTTTATTATTTAACTTTTCCTATTACTTAAGAATTCCTCTTTCGTAATAAATGGGTTCAGATCTTACATCCATATATGTAACACCGTTACCTGTAGGTAATTGAATTACTATGTCATTTAGTTGTCTATTAGATTTCTTATACTCACATTGTTATAAGAATAACGGCTAGTAACTTCCATTGTTTATGATTTAATGAAATGTTATCCCTTGATAGCCTAAAAAAATGATTCAATAAAACGTAGCTTTTAAGATTTTACAGTACGAGATCAATAATCTTCAGTAATACGATTGCTATTTAAAATATTGCATTGAAAATATGTTTCATCGGCGTTGTCATGATTATGAGAAGTTTTAACTTTATGTTGTAAGCGAGTTTAGGGTTATTCTAACTTGAAATATGCTAATCTCGAGATTTACAATGAATAAATATTTCACGGCAATAATTCTATTACAATTAAGGCCTATTGTAGAAAATATACGTTTGTTTATTAAATGACGAGATGCAGCGTCCCCTAAACACTAACAATATAAAACGCGATAGCAGACTTTATTTTAAAGCATACCACGTACCTGAAAGTACGAATCAGATCAGTCATATCTTGTCGAATATCACAATAGATGAGATTAAGGGAAGATAGCGGTTCCCGTAACCTATCACGAAAATTAATGATGCGTTATAGTCAACGAACAGCCGTCAATATCGATGATGCATGTGTCATAGTCGTATTTAATTGAAACTGAATGAGCATGAATTACTATATACACATGCTTTCTCTACTCATTTACTCTAACGGCATTACCTTGCAAATAAATGCAATTGTCAAATAAATTGTGGAAAAATAGCTTTTTAAAGTACTTAATAACTAAAATAGAAACGACGTTTTGCGATACACCTAACTACAATAAATAGCTCTGCAGTGCTCTAAATATATTATCGTTATCCTGTATTACAAATTGTCAATGCTAATGCTGCTAATAATTATATACTAAGGTCACATGAAATATAGGGAGATTTTACAAAACTATAGGAAAAGAATAACACTAGTCAAAGTTTAAATAGTACTGTACTGATATAATATAATAACAAGCGCAGGAACTATACACAATTTTAAGTCTCTTTTGTAAGCTATCTAAGATCGCCTGTCTAATGTCATGAGAATCCAATTCTAATGACGATATGAAGCATCTAAATAGATTTATTGAATCTATTACATACCCTTTTTTTATACGATCTAATATAATATTCCGACGTAAAGATGCCTGATAGTTACTTGAATGCAGAGGTAGATAGACGTCAGTTTCCTGTAAAAGTTTTAAAATTAAACTTTAATTTCATAAATTATTTCATAAGATTAATACATCAGCTATACCTGTCTTTCCGGTTCAGCCAGGTTCTCTTTGGAGATAGATCTGTCATGACTCCCATTCTTCGATAATTCAGGTCTACAATCTCGCGTATCATCTATTTTCCAAGAATCCTTTGCTATATGTACAGTGGTTTCAGTTTTAGGATCACAATTAGGATTATTTAAATCTGCGGGCATTAAGAAATTTTTTGTTTCAGTCGTGCTCCATTCCTGTAAAACATGTATTATTTTTGCATACGGATCAGTTTTTTGTGGAACAACAACAGTAGGTTGCATAACTGGGAGAGTGCGACATGGGTCAAAGGTATTTTTTAATTTACTATTAGAATGAAAAGATTGATATTGATGATTGAATGCATGATCGACATCAACACTGGGAATATCATCTGCGAATAAATCTTCTTTCAATTTAGTTTCTTTGATGCTAACAATCGGACTGATATTCTTCGACGACGAATAAGGTGACGGTGAATCATGATGCATTAACAGAGTTGCATCTAATTCGCGTTTATTGTCGGTCTGTGTTAGCTTTATTTTAGATCTTTCAAAGTCTTCCTTTATGGAGGTTGATTCCTTTATTTTATTATTGGATTGGCGTGATAATTTATATGAATTATGACTACCCAAATCGGGTTTAGCTTCATCGTTTATTTTAAGAAGGTCGACATTGTTGGTAATCAATGTTATTTCATGATCATCTGCTGGTAGTTTGGCACTGTAAATTAAATCATATCAACCTTGAATGACGCATGGTTGTGATAGATTGTGACAATGTATCTTAGATTTATCAAATTTACACAGTTGCAATTACAATAGGTTACCTTGATTGTTCGTCAGAAGATAAATGCTGCAGCAAAACTATCTTGTTCTTACTAAGAGATCAAATAATAAAATACAGCAATATCATATACTGTAATAATAATAACTGTAAAGTACCATTTATAGATTTGCTAATATAAATGATAAATGGCAGTAAATCTGCATTTTCAGTCTCATCAGCAGATAAACGGTGAAATTATTAATTATACGGTTTCAAATAATTTCGAGTTAATGGTCAGCCTGTGTAGAATGAAACTAATACAGTGGATATTGATGCACGATAGCAACTTTTCATGTAATACGTACAAGCAGGTGGGCATAATCATTAAAGCTAGCCCTTGTTGTAATACTTACATTTCGTGGCGCCCCCATAATGGCTCTGTCGATAACTGTTTAGCAAAGAAATTGGAAGCTTTGCAGCAGAAATTGCTACAAAACCTCTAGATTTACACAGAAAGAAAAAATGTGTTTAAAATCTGCTACTTTAATCAACGTAGTTATATTAAGTTGTTTTCAACTTAAATTAATAATAATTTTGTTAAGTGATTGATTCTAATTCTTAAATTAGTAGACTGAAAATAATTTACCCTTTTCTTTTCCATGTCGTATACCTTATTGCGAGCAGTATCAATGTGATATTTTTGACGAGTAACCTTATGACAAGCATCAAATTAATAATGACAAAATATTTTCGATTTAAACTATACGTAGATAAGCTGTAAAATTTTTTGCTACACGGCAAGTTATAATCATAAGGTAATTACATTTTGTAACTGATTTTCACAAATTGGATAACCACATTTTCGGATTATAAAACGTTCTTCGATTGCATCATCATAGTAGCTTGGATCAATAAATTTCGCCTAGAGTAAATGATCATTGATGTAGGTAGTATTATTTATATTCCGATGAACGATAACGGGTAGACAGTAGTACTTGATTTCACAGAATTGTGTTATTACAACCTTGTCAGTCGCAAGTTCTAATTATGAATTTAGAAGTAGATCAATAAATTGAAATATCTTACACAGTTGAGTAAGAATTCTTGGCTGACAGTATCTAATAACTGCTCAACAATATTCATTGCTTTTCTCTGGTGATGTCCTGAGGGATGACCAATCTTAATTTCCCTTGGTTTAAGAAATCATTTGAAAGATCAATTAGCAATTATGAAGTCTATCAATAGTCATTTTTTGTTGTTGTATAGTACTACTTGTGTTAGAATTTTTGAAATGGATTGATGCTCTCGATAGGCATACCCATATTAGTAGATACAACCAGACTAAGTTGATTACACTATCTCATTTAACTCCATTCTAGGCTAAATTGGATGGAATGAATGCTATACTATGGACTAGTAGATTACCTCGACGTTGTCTATGATGGCAAAACTGTCGCAAGGAATGGTGCAACAGCAGCCCTCTACAGCACAGTACTATCATTCTGGAACTAGGGTATCAATTGGTGTGAGAAGTTATTACATCACTAGAGTATGATTCCATTCTCCAAGAATATTCTTCTACTTAGTTAGAATGTACTTAATTTTGAATCTACTAAATATGCAATAAAATATTGAATCTTATAGCCAACCAACTCGACAAGTTGTGAAGCAATCTTGTGCAGTGAGAATGAATGAATTGGGAAATTGGCTCAGTTTGCATACCTCGTTTTACCTTGAGATTCATCTTTATTAGGCGAGTTATCGAGTTCTATACCTAAATTATAGATAACAATAATATGAGTTCTACTATTCTAAGGTTACTTTCTGAATTACCTATAAAGAAAATCCATGCTAACCATGGATTTGCTGAGGATTCCCAAGGTCGTCCATGTTGGTTGAGCTAGCCAAGGCAATGACAAAGCAATCGCTACAGTCTTCAGTACTGTAGCGATTGCATCCTCTCATTGTAACCTTCACGTACTGTACTGTACAGTACGATACGATACGCATACGGTGCGATCCGGTACGGTACCCGTGGTGAATGATACTCTACCAACTAGGCAGATCCCCAACTAACGCCATCACTCTGGTTGCCATTTCACCAAGCTTTTCGATGCAGAATGCAAATGGCCAAGTAACATTAATGGAGGAAAGTACAGTCCTATCATAGAAAATAAACTCAATCTTCAGTCTAATTGGGTAGACCGACAAATCGACTAACCTGTAGATCAAATAGTACCGCTGTTTTCTTGAAGATACAAGACAAAAAATTACTTTTTGCTGACGTCCATCCATCATTCATTTGGACTGCGTGCAAAGTCATTCAAAGAAAGGAAAGACCCATTTTATTAGGTATATATTTGAGTAACGTCTACTTATTTTGAGAGTATTCTTCTAGTAGAAGTGACAATATGATGTATTATTGCCATTGATGAGCTTGTGAAAATGTCGTCATACTATTTTGCAATAATCATCGCTTATGGTCGTGTCATAAAGTCCATCATTTCAGTCATGATACGCACAGGCATCAGCATGGACTACTACTGTAGCGAAGTAGTTCATGGCATCAGGGTTACCGGTGCATGCACCTCTAATTTTGTTGTACAGATAGAGGTAAGAAAAGACATTTTACCTCTATCATTTGACAATAATAACCTGTGCTTTTGATCATGTTATATAGAGTTGATGATTTTCTCTATACCAATGTTTTCCCACCCTAACCTATTTTGTTAGAATCGTTGCTTATAGTCATGTCATGAAGTGAGCCATTTTATCTACAATAATATGTCAAATGCTAATACTGAACTGTATTTATGATAATCCTTACTGAAGGGTCATGTTGATAAAGCTGATCATTTATCTGTAATTGCTGGTCATAATATATAGGTGCTTCAATTTTTGGATCTCAAGGAATAGAAAGAAACCTGGTATCGTGCCTGCATATTTGGCTTTAAATTACTATAAGAAGCACCCTACTGAATCCATTGTTATGGTAAGTTAGGCCAATTGGGATTTAGTTTACTACATAGAATTCATTAAGTTAAGACTAAATGCAGCCATCGAAGCTACACAAAGAAAACAGCCTCTACTTTCTGTCATATCCTATCGACTATTACGTACATTTCATCGTTTCCATAGTTATTTTATACGTCACTATTGGATAAGTAACTTAGTAGCGAAGCTACATATCAAGCATATCATTGATTCAGATATCAGCAATATTGACCACGGTATAATGTACAATTTTCTCATTTTATTCAACTGTCCTACTCATTGTATCAATTTTAATAACCTTATTTGTCCTTTTCTACCATTTGTAAACACTCATAATAGGGAACGCCACAGAGTGATATCGAATTACCGGTTAATTCACCTGTGCAATTGTGGAAGCTAAAACATCGAGACTATATTGTCAATTATGGCAAAAGTAAAGACGATTATGTAAGTTCTGTAAGGTGATTTCTTAACTTCAAAACAATTCTCCCTTTTCTTTTATCATGGACATGCTCATACCCTGTCAAATGACAACAATTTACACCGCCATCACGTAATATTTTGCATGAGAAAAATAATTAATAAAAATATCTCCCTTTGTCGGGACAAACTAGATTATATTGGATGATAATTTTAAATTTGATTGATAATTTATAATAAACTAGGAATACTGTATGTCGGAATATCTTCGAATCAATGGTGTCTACTGGGGGATTACAGCTCTTTGCTTATTAGATCAACTCGATCAATTGAATAAAACTGAAGTTATAGACTTTGTGAAATCATGCCAGCATCCATCAAGCGGATTTGGCGCTAGTCCCAATCATGATCCGCATATCTTATCTACTTTAAGCGCAATCCAGGTCAGCCATGAGAAAAAGTGTAGACAGTTTAATTTTATCTGTTATCCTTATTTATAGTGGCCTTTTATAGCACCAAAGCTGCGTACTGCATAGCGTACTGTACTTAGCCAAAGTGGGAATAACTTCATTAATACATTCTAAGCATCTGGCTACATGTTAGTAATATTTCACATTGGTAATACTACCTTGCAATGAATTGATAATTATCATTACTTTGGTGGATGATTATCAAAATTGCAGGGGTGTGGACAATTTATGCACTGTAGTATAGTTTACTATTGCTACTGAGTGATTTGGTCACAGCCGGTTACCAATAAATTTTTAGTAGTTCACAATCTAGTGAACAATTCGTAGTTTCATAAGACATGATGGCTAATTTTTTAAATTCTTTAAAACAACTATAAATTATAAATTAGATCTTAACAATTTATGATGCGGTCGATGAAATCGATGTAGATGGTGCCGTCAATTTTATTCATTGTCAACAGCAGAATGATGGCTCGTTTTCTGGCGATAAATGGGGTACTGTTAATCGACCTATAATAGAATTATAACGGTGATTTAGACTTTATTGAATGACATAAAAGCGAAGCAGAAATTTACATAACAATATTATTGCATTCAGTATACCCATCGATAGGCTAGGGTAGAGTTTTGTTGTATTCTCTACTAATATAGCGAAAAAAAAAGAGATGAACTAAATGAAATTTCAACATTTTACCTTTCACATTAGGTGAGATTGACAATCGGTTCTCCTTTTGTGCTCTAGCTTGCTTATCGTTGCTTGTAAGTAATAAAACAAAAGAGATATCCAGATATTCTTATTTAATAATTAATGATGATATTCGAACGTTAGATTCCGTTTTACAAAGTACTTCATTACAAACGGACATTAATTCTTCCGTTAGTAGTTATTGGAGTTTAATCATCATAATTAAAGTATAGAATACAAGCTCTGTTCATTTATTGACGTTTCTTGAACAATTTATAAACAATAGTTTTAATTATATAGTTCAATATACTGCAGCATGCCGGCATACAATTGTCGTATAATATTGATAAGTTAAATATTATGTATAATAGATAAGATTAATCTTTGAACTCTGTAAATGATGGGTAAAAATGTTAGTAATAGTTTTTTAATGTTTCGTAATCAATATTTATATTTTGATCGCGTAGTTTGAAACAATTCTATTTTCTATATGGTTGGCTTATTTATATATAGGGACGTTTAGATGCTATCAATGTCGATAGTGCTATCGATTTTATCTTAAAATGTATGAATTTTGATGGAGCGTTTGGTTGTAAGCCTGGTTCGGAATCCCATTCTGCTCAAGTATGTAATACTTAATAGTATAATTTGTATCACTATTGGATAACTCTCTATTGTTGCTAGATTACCATATAAATTCTGTTAACCACGTTAAGTAATTACGGTTTCCTTTGCAAATAATTTAATTGCAATTAATATAAATTAACGGAAGATATTATGTTGATGCAATATTTTTATAAATGGATTGCTTACAGCACTACATTAAAATTCGTAATAAAGATTTTTGTATTAACGTTGAAAATAAATTCTTGTATTAAGTGTGTGAGCCATTTTTATCGGTAAGGTAACATGCTTATGCTAAACAATACAGAAATTGCTCGTCAATAAACTAGTAACTAATTTGATAATCGCTTTAAACCAACTTTATCAATTTAGGTCTATTGCTGTGTAGGATCACTAGCAATCACAGGACGCCTTCATCATCTAAATATTGATGCATTAGGCTGGTGGTTAAGTGAAAGACAACTTCCTTCTGGCGGATTGAATGGTATATTGAAAAGTCGCTGTTTTAATATTTATCACAAGTATTAAAGTAAAATTGGGATTACATGTAATTAAAATAAGAAGTTTATACGGTGTTTGATTTATCTATTATTTAATTGGTTTATGTATTGCTATATAAATAGGCAGGCCTGAGAAGTTACCTGATGTATGCTATTCATGGTGGGTTTTATCATCATTGGCTATTATCGGCAAATTACATTGGATTAACAAAGTAAAAGCAATTTTATCAAGAGATAATATCTTTCGTCATTGCCCTGAAAATTTATTATTGAATCATATCCTGTTGACTAAAATTAATGATATTTTGCAACTATTGTTCTTCTTTTTGATTGTAAAGGAGAAATTAATTAACTTCATCTTAGCTTGCCAAGATAAAGAAACTGGAGGAATTGCAGACAAGCCTGGCGACTTAGTTGATCCATTCCACACTTTATTCGGTATTGCTGGGTTATCATTACTTGGGGATACGACCTTAAAACAAGTTAATCCTGTCTATTGCATGCCAGAAGAAGTTATACAAAAACTTAGGTTAAAAGTCCAGATGCTAAATTAAAATTGTAAAGTCTGTCATATATACAGTATATGTATACATATATGTTAAATGTATGAAGAGAGATGGATAAGTATAAGTATGCGTGTCCATGTTAAAGTAATAGATGGATCATTTACTAACGGATGACAAATTTTACATTTTTATTTATGTATTACACGGCAATTTTGTATAATCAAATAACAGATCTTACTCATAGAGAAAATACGTACATCTATTTGCACTGATTTACCAATTTTGTTATGAAAAGCAAATAACGCTCGGCAATATCGATGTTAAATAATTTAAAATCAGCCCTTTTGCTTTAGCGAAAGGGCTGCACGAAGATTATACTAATGATAATAGCAATTTTCAACTGTATCAGTAATAAAATTCAATATTGCTAAATAGACTGGGATTGCCGCTATAATGGATTAATAGTATCATGGAAGAGATATAATAATAATAAGCGATTTTTCGCCTATACAACTTGAAGTTTAACTTGATATAAAAATAAATAGGATTTGTGTTTCAGATACAATACATTTGTTTAGTCTTATCATTTACTCATTAGATTGAAGCATTCTATACAATAGCTATATTATTACATCAATAACATAAATTTTATCAACATTTTTCAAACGATCACAATTTCATTTTAATCACAAATAACAATAGTCTATAAACAATGAAAGTATAGATTAAAATTAGTGATACTGGTATCGATTCCTAATTTTGGAAGGATAATAAACTATTTTCGATAGAAACTGAAGGATGTTTTTACTCCAATTACGTTCGATCATGCTGAAGGAATAAGAGAATTTTTTAATACTCAACAATTACACACTTTCTAACGATACAAGTGCGCTATACTGTACTTTAGTTCGTGATTATCGCTAACTCATTTTTTCTAGGTACATTATGAAATCAAAATTGAATAAAGGGAAAGTCAATAAAGACTGTCCTATTGATTTACTTGATATATTAATTATTAATATAATGTCTTATCCAATATAAAAAGCTTTTAACATGATAAAACCTAATATGGAATTTATGAATAAGATTAAAAGCTAATTCCAACTACATCATTTACGTATTATAGCGTTGTTTTCACAATCAATCCATTTTCCGCTCATCGTGATTTCTATATACGTTGTAGAGACGTTATTTTATTTCACCTGCGCCCCCATAGGATACCGTCAAAACACCATTTATTCCATAGGATTAATATGAAAGTAATCCTTTCACATTTAAAATCGGTAGTGTAATCTGTATTACTTTGTTAAAAAATAAAATATGAGAAAAAAATTATGTCGTTCTTTAGACAGGTTTTCAGCCTGACGGTCTGTAATTTGATTCTAATAATTATTCGATACAGTCATCTTTTAATTGTACTATTACGTATTCCTTTTATTCAAAAAATTCCAAAAGCGAAATGTCAGGTATTTGTGTCTTTCGAACTTTAATCGACTATATAATAGATAAAGAATGAGAAATATCAAAATGCTTTTTAATTACTTGTGTGAGTCTCATCCGTTTTTCTTATATGCTCTACATAAAAAAAAATGATGTATTGTATTGATTACTCGAATTGTCATTAAGATTTGGAACAGAGATGATACAGTAGAATTATAATTAAAAAATTTTCTCTGTGAAAATACTACCAGGCTATTTAATAAGGAAGCTGAGCCTAGAGTATACAAATTATTCTAACAACGATTTTTCATAAAATTTCATTGATTTCTATTCTGTCCTTCTTTTGATATGTCATTTTAAATCTTGAATCGAGATATTGATGATGTCAAATCTCAGATTGGACTTTATCCTACCAATTCGTCAAAGTCAGTCAACGATAGTTATTTGTTGTTTGTTGTTTTCCTTGTATTTGTTCATGTTTGATGTTTTATGTTTGGTTAACTCACAAAACTATCGTTGGTTTAAATTTGTATTATAGACTTTACGTTTTCTTAAGAACTTATTTACTTCGATATTAAATAAAGGTCACATCCATTTTGGTACTTTATCGTGCAATACCCTTAACTTTTGTTCGTGTCTCTGCATAACTCAGTTGTCAATTTAAAAGGACTACCTGAAAATTCCTCTTAATCTAGTTGACTTTCCAAGTGTACGCTTTTTAATCATTTTTCATTATCCATGTACGCTATGGATACATGCTATATATATAATTTTCCCTCTCTTACTGTATCCTTCTCTTCACCGCTAAATTTATTCTATTCTCAGATATTGTCCAATGAAAATGAGCTAGTTGAATACTTTCATTGATGTCATTTCTAAATCTAAATGACATTTATTCGGTAGATCAATGATAATAATTGACAAGTATTATATTTTTAGTATGAAGAATGTTGCATTAAAAACTAGATGATGCCTAATTGAACTTTCATTTCTTTCTATCCTATTCACCTTGCTTTTAATTTCCTTTCTGAAGCAACACTACAAGTAACATTTCTTTTTTTTTGCCGGTTGGCTCTTGCACCTCTAATCTATTTCATACTATTATTCAAGTTATTTTTAATAAGTGAATACTTATTCATTAGGTAAAGCTAATTGATACAGTATTCCATCTAGCCGTAGATATTTAACAATTTATTTTATTCATTTTCCGTAACTGATGCAAATTTTTTGTATGCATCATTTTTTAGTTTCGAAGTCTACTTCGAATTTGATAGATTTACTTACTTTTATAGCAAGCAGTTCATTCATTTTACTAAATTTATCTACATTATTATTTTTCATAGATCTGGATATATTCAAATATATATATACGCATATATATATATATATTTATATCTATATATCTCTAATGGTATTCCATTTTCTTTCGCTATCTTGGTATCTCTTTCCTTAAGCTTGCTTTTAAAATTACTTGCTATCCCCTTTTCTTGGGAAAATTGACTTGAAATACCTCTCATCGTCATCCACGTGGTAGTTTTTTTTGTTACATTAGCAACGATAAAACACCACCAATTTTGAATAAGAAACTCATCGTTGTAAGCATCTTGCTGGTTGTGGTGGCGGAGGTAATACTGTATCCTATTTTGAAAAAGCTTTTTGCAAATTCAGTTCTCATTTTTCCCCATTGATTACCCTTGACGTGGCTCCTTTTTAAATACCGACAGGACGTTCAAATAGAAAATAAATTTAAAAATTGTAGTCACTTGTTATTCATAACATTTTAGTCCAATTCTCTTATTTTATTTTCTATCAGACAAAAAATGAGATCTATTTTACTCTTTTATATAGTTATCACTATAATTTCTTTATACGTTATCAAGCCTGCTAAGACTACATCGGCCCGTCTACGGTGTGGTATATCATTAGATAAAAGGAAAGAAGATTATATTCATTCTCGATATCCTCGACATACACCGATCCATCAGCCAGTACAAGATGATGGAGCGCTCTATTTCAATGGTAAGGATACTATTCAATTGCCAATTGAAAGTATAGAAATAAGTCGTGGCTTCAGTATTGAATTTTGGATTAAAGTAGAGGGTGGACAACACGCCAATACTATTATCGTTGGGCTTTATGATCGTTGTTTCTTAAGGTATCAAAGTTTAATAATTGGATTAAAGAACAGGAATCAACATCGACAGTCTACTCTATATTACTCATTGCAAACAGATAGTTTCAATTCAATGAGTACTATTGAAGGGCCCACAACTGTCACTATTGGAAAATGGCTCCATGTCGCTGCAACCTATAACCAAAAAAAAATGCAGCTTTATATTAATGGAGCACGAATGGGCACTGATACACGACAAAAGGGCCAATTATTGGCTAATCACTCAGCACTATGCCGAGCTATTTATATTGGAGGCGGTCATGGTGATGGACAACAAAATAATGGCACCGATGACAACTTTAATCAATATTACCGTGGCAGTATCGATCATTTTCGCATCTATAATTACTCTCGATCACATAGGTCTATTAAGCGTGGCATAGATCAATTGAATCATGCAAGCCGTTATCATCACTATCATCAGCATCATCATCATCTCCATCATCGTCATCATCGTCATCATTCTCGTCATCACCATCGTCATCACAACAATAGCAACCATATTCATGATTCAATGGGTTTAATTTATCAAGAATCATTTGATGGTATCGTCCGTTGGACAACACCAAAATTAAATAAACCTAAAAGAATCCATTCTACACGCCATGAAAGTTATCATCAAATTGAAATTTATCCACCGCCATGTGGTTTAACATTATGTGATAATCATGAAATTATCAAGACTTATTTGGCTCACTATCCTGATTGGCAACATACGCCTAAGTTGGTACAATATCGCCTAATTAATATCTACAACGATGATGGCAGTAATCCACTAGTAACTCAACAACAGATACAACGGCAACACCAATACCTACTGAATCATTTTGCACCTTATGGGATCCAGTGGAAACTTCATGAACATAAAATATATAATACAACATTGAGACAGCGCCATGTCTTGGTCGGTTGTAAATCGAGCATGATTGCTGATGATATTTGCCAAGAAGAATGCAATAGTGTCATTACTGGCTATGATGGTGGCGATTGTTTATCAGGTTCACAACATCAAATTGATGAATTATGTGATAGCAATAACATTGGAAATGGAATCTGTGATAATCAATGCAACTATCGGCATTATAATTGGGATGATGGCGATTGTTGTCTTCTCAACTCAATCTCAACAGCTACCACTACTACAAGCAATTGTGTTGATCCCGATTCTCCTCACCGGAATTATCTGTCAGTTGAAGAATATAAAAATACTATTAATTTAACCAATGAAAATTATTTAAATATCTACTTTGGACATTGGACATGGGAAGATTTACTCGGTATTGCTACTTTTCCATGGGAACGCCATGTCAAAACCTTGCTAGGTGGAACAATCTTGAAAGCAACCCATTATGGTCATACTGGTCACTTAGATATTATGATTCATGAAATTGGCCATAACTTAGGTTTATGGCATGTTCATCATGGTATATCGGAAATGAAATGTAGTGATCCATGCTACGAACGTTATCCATCGATGGAATTAGGTGATTTATGCTCTGATACGGCACCTACACCGCTTAATAATTTATGCCTATCCCCTCTATCTCGCGATGATGCATGCTATGATCATTTAAAGTATAATAATACGCCGTATCGTAATTTTATGAGTTATTCTAACGGATCGTGCTTGCATAAAACTTTTACACCACAACAAGTAGCTCGTATGCATTGCTATATTGATCAACATTATACTTCTTGGTTGGTTGATGATGATCCAGCACCTTCGATTATTCCAATTCCACCGCAAATACTATCTAACGATCATCAACAATTACAAATTGCGTGGATATCACCGTTGCGTGATCAACGCCATCAAGTATGCGAATATTGTCATGCCAATGGAGCTCTAGTTCAATTTGCAACTAAAGTATCATCACCATTTACTTATCGTACAACTGGTATGAATATTTGGTCGCCTGAAGAAGCCTTAAAAGGTTCGCCCGATGCTAAAGCATGTGAATATGATAGGTATGCATGGATTGCACATGAATATTGCAATAGTACATGTTATGTCGAGGTCGGTTTTGATCAGTTGATTGTTGGACGCCAATTAAAAATATGGGTTACTGGTAATTATAAAAGTGCTCGCGCTTTACATGATATTATATTATATTATCAAGATGGGAGCAAAGAATCATTAGGAAGTCAAGCGGTCCAATGCGATCAGCCATTTACTACACCTTTATGGTCAAGTAAGATACTAACGCATTTAAAGATTTACATTTCTCATCCTGATGTAGGTATCGATTCCGTCCAACTAACTTCATCGCAACATCATAGCGTTTGTGATCATTGCCAACCGCTAACTTATCGTGTTCATCGCCAACCACCATTTTATTCAAATCAATCGTCGATGATAACAACTACAACTCATTTTCTAGATTTATGGACGAAGCCATCGGTTAATTATATCTATACTGTCCAAGCTATTAGTAATAACCGAACTGGACCTCTATCATCACCTTTGCGTTATTTCTTCAAAGAAGGCTTTTGTGGCAATGGTATAATTGAAAATGATGAAAGTTGCGATGACGGTAATCGGCATGATGGTGATGGTTGTAATCTTCGTTGTCAAGTTGAAGAATTTTTTCATTGTCAGCATCAACCGAGTCTTTGCTATTATCACCTGAATGATGATATATGTGAAGAATTTGAGGAGAGAGTTAGTCCTCATGATTGTGGATTTTATACACCGAAAGGATTTCGTGATCAATGGGCTTCTCATGCTGTTGCAAATCCCGAATTTCAAGGAGAAAAATGTAGCGATTTTGAAACATTATTATTAGGACCTCCATCTGCTGATCAAGTAAATAGCATACTTTACTAATTATTGAATGCTATTTTTATAATATCTTATACTTAAAATATCATAAAATGTTAAGTATTTTAACTACAAAGTTAACTTATGGCTTTCTTTCATTTTTATTGTTTTATATCAGAAATGTACATCTAATCTGGATATGAAATCGTTTTGGCAAGAACTTCCTGTAGCTTGGTATCCATGCGGTCATCATTATGAAGATGCAAATTTTTGGATTCAAGTAAGCTTCCAGCGTTCAGTTGTTGCATCATCAGTGTTGATCTATTTAGCTACAGATGGCAATATCGTATTATATACTAAAAGAGTAAGGATATATGTTCAACTAATCGATACAGAAGATAACGTTCACGAAATTACACCTAATGGTATCTTGGCATCATGCAATTCTAATCCTTTAACGATATCAGTAATGCACGACATGACTAAAGCCTTTTATTATGTTAAAGCAGTTAATATCTCCTTCACATCATACGAACTTGCTATTTCAGCAGTTCGGCTACGGTCTCTTACAGCTACAGAATCATTTTCAGCTCATCAGTGCGGTAAAAACGAATATTACAATCCAAAAACGCAACGATGTTATAAATATCCTTGTGATCGAGTTCATTGTGGGGTGTACATGACTAAAACAGCTCATGCCAACTGTTCATCAAACTTTGAAGGTGCAACTTGTAATGTTACATGCTATCATGGATATACTAGCTTAAATGGTCCTTCTTATGAGATTCAATGCATTCAAGGCCAATGGGTTGATCAAGATTATTCCTGCAGACCAATTGATTGTGGAAAACCGCCTAATGTTGAATATGCTATAACAGCCTGCCCCGATGGTACAAGAGCTGGAAAGGTATGCACATATAAATGTAAATCACCCGCTAGGATGGTCGGTAAAAATAATTCACTAACTTGCACACCACAAGGATATTGGACACTTCCTCAATCTTACTGCTATTTAACATGTAATCCACCACAGCAGCCGGCTAATTCCGTTAATTTTCGTTGTATGAATGCAAACTACCGTCGAAATAAATTGTTTCAAATTGGTCGTTATAATATTGGTAGTTATTGCAAGTTTCATTGCTCTAAAGGTTATGAGTCTATTAATCAGTATGGCTTGAAGAGTGTACTATCAAGAACTGTATGCAGTTGGAGTGGTCAGTGGGAAGATGCTCGATGTATTCCGATTACTTGCCCACCTCCACCACTACTTCAACATGGTAGTTATAACTGTAAAGGAACAACTTATAATTCAACATGTTCTAGAACATGCTTGGATGGAAGCCATAAGGTAATATTAATTAATCAAAATTATGGTAACAGTATTAATTGCTTTTCGGCGTGCGCGTATAGATAGGTATAATTTTGAGATTGGTTTACCTTTTCAGTAATATAGTTTTTTTTGCAATTTTTTAATATTAGCGATTTAAGTTTATATCTTATGTTGTTTTAAATATACTTGCACACCAGCAAGATCAACTTAAAGAGTTAATTTTATGTTGTTATTAGCTGCTTTCAATACTTTCAGCTTCGATCACATTAAATTATTATATGATATAATACCTTTATTATGTTGACCTATAAACAAATTAACAAGGTTAGATTAGCAAATTCCAATTATTTAAACTAATTCTAGATACCTTTTTTTTCATCTTATGTACTAGAACGGTGGTCATAACGTTATTACTTGTGGTAGCGATCGAAAATGGCATGGTGTTGTAGACCACTGTCCAGTACCAACACAAATATGTGCAAAACCCAATTTATCATCAAATATGGATGTTACTTGCTCAAATGGCCATGCTATTGGTCAAAGTTGTAGGATTACATGTAAAACAAATGAAGAAACGCCTAACCATCAGCAAATTACTTGTTCATCAAAACAGATATGGCAACCAGCGTTATCGCAATTAAAATGTAACGTAAGATGTCTATCAGAATACTATAATGATGGATGGTGCGATTTGGAAAATAATCGTGAGGAATGCCAGTATGATGGAGGTGATTGCTGTAAGTCAACATCAATAGAAGGCATAGTAGAGTATATGATGGAAGATTATTGCAGCAGTGAGCCAGTACCAACTGAATGCAATTGCCTCGATCCAAAAGCAGCAGAAAATAAAAATGTATAGATATTCGTAGGCATAAAGAAGTTTCCAAGTCAACTCATAATAATTGTATTCCAGAGTTAATGGCAAAAATTTATATTTACGTATTCAATGCTATACCTTACACAGATATCAAATTGTGATTTTAAGATGATATTTACAGTTAGTAAAGATTCCATCACTAGATTATGATCACTAGATCATTATTGTTGTTTCTTGATTATGATATATTTAATTTATCTGTTTCCTAAATATTTAAAAATCTCAAGAGCATTGCTAGTTCAATACGCACTTGTTTAATCACTCAATTAATTGTAAACTATCAATTCAGTTTTGCAGCTCTAGTGTTATATTTATAGTACCGGAGTTATAAGTAAATCACTTTAAGTGGTGTATAAGAAATTAAATGAAGTTTAAAACATAGTATGTCCAAGTATACCTTAATTTGTTTATTGAGTGCTATATTAACGGTTATAATTAATTAGTAATCCAGCAAGGGTGATTCAAGAATAGTTTAATGACGTAATATTTACTACATAGTTATTTGGTACATGATACATATAAGTTTACTCTATAATAGTAGATGTGTATGAATATTTACACGCATAGATATTCTGTTGCCATTTTTAATTCTTGGTAATAACAAGAAAAAATTATAAGCTGAATGAGTACAAACATTGATTGTTTTAACTGCATTGCGATAAGCAATAACTAGAGCAATACAAGATATAAGAGAGTAGGATGAAGATTTCTCATAATAAGCTTTTAAATTGTAATCAGATTCAATTAAATTATCTATAATCTCGATATAGACAATATTAAATGATAGTCTGGCGATAAAAATTATCTTCCAGCAAGTATTAGCGGATATTATTCTTTAAAGATATTTCATGATATTATTTTAGCGTTAACTTTCTTAATTATTCATTAACTGCTAATAGCTTGGATAATAAATTGATGAACTTTTCCATGCTCTATCTTGAATTCTGGTTAACAATCAGTGTATAAAAGGAATCTATAGGTAGATGGTAGATACTAGCTGGTTGTGAAATGGGGTTTAAAGTAATCATTTCCCTATCAATTATAAATTGGTCAGACTTCGATTTTAAATATAAATTGTCTTGCACTAAGCACAAGATCAAAGAAAAAAGTATCTGCTAATACTTGAAATTCTTCAGCCTACTCTTTATATTATATTAGCTTGGTTGGGAATTTGAAGACATAGTATCCTTTATGACGGTATACTCGTATATATATATTAACATAGTAATGTGATATTGTTGGGGCAATTTCTTTACGGTTGTAGCTTTTAGAATACGCTATCGCCATTTCTGTCCTTCTTCTGGGTTAGGGCTACGAGTACTAAGGCATTACAAATACTTTTCTATAACAACGATGCGTTTTCGTTCTCCTTCCATATGCCTACATAGAGTGTTATTAGGAATAGACTTTGTAGTAGATAGTGACTCCGCCATATGATATTTCTCGAATAAATACGCGTAAACTAATTATTTTTGCCGTGGGTCAATATTACATGTTCTTATGCAATATGACGCCTATCGTGTAGACTGCAAGAATAGCTCAAAATTCAATACTGTACGTAATAAGATTAGCAAATTGTCAATTCGTCTTCCTTAACCATAACGATGAAGGATACCGTGAATTTTGATGGGTGAACTGATTTTTCTACTTTAAATGAAGGATTAATCGATGTAAATAAGTAGAGTATAATATTTGCAACATGCTCGCTAGATAGGCAATACTGTACAGTGTAGAGTACAATATCAATTGAGGTCTATTATGGCTACGCTGTACTTTTTACCTTTTTGCATGCCTCCTACGGAGCTTTACTTTTGTATAGAATTATGACGCTTGCGGACAGTATAATATACTGTTCAGAATTGCTGTCTAACTAATCATGTGTGCATTTCAAGGCAAAATAGCAATTAAGATTATGCTACTGCAAGAGACGGAAACAATTGGCTGCTGTAGTTCTTCTCTTCATCTTTAAACTATTCTTATTCATCACGATAAGTGTTCCCATGTTGATCTCTCCATGTACTCAGATTTATATAGGAAATTACGTTGTTGCTGAGGCGGTTTTAAGGTATTTATCTGGGATAATGCAACTCTATTCATGACTTTAATAAGAGCAGCTAAGGTTCACCTAGCCCGATTTAAAAGTATCAAGAATAAGATACAGGTTTAGGTTCGGAAGGAGCAAGGGACAAAAATATCGAGAGAAGAGAATCTCTTCTAGAACTGAATGAACTTCGTTTAATTTTACAGTATAAGAGTAGCGGTGGTAAAATAATATTAAAGATATTGACTCTAATATCATTAATGTTAGATTAATCTGCATGTGTAATTTTGACTCATAAGGAGTATTGTTGGAGGCTGCAATAATACTCCTTGTCAACCAACTTGGGAGCAACAACAAGAATTTTTTCCGTCGAGCAGTGATTGATCCATTCAATTCATTTTGCTACGACTAAAAATGAAGATTTTAACCGTTGTACGGTAGGTGTTGAAGATGAAAGTCGTTATCATTAGAAGCAGCATTTACCGCTGTCTATACTGATATCTGTTATGTTCAATTGATTTCCATATTAGAGATTATTACTGGTTATGTTCAGCATTTTAGGGATAATTACTGTGGTGAGATTATGTTTTAAAACATATTTACTGTTATCGTGGTTTTATTACCTTACCTTACAAATATAGAGTATTGATGTATTAACTAGAATGGTATAAAAAGGAGATACGATCGAGAAAAAAAAGGCAGACTTCAGCTTGTGTTCAATTTGAATAAGTCATGAAGTTGCTCGTTGGTAACGTGAAAATAAAGGAGTTTTTTTTTTAAGCTTAACTTGCAGTCGTGACAATATCAATAAGAGTTATTCTTAGATAAGACTTCAATGCTAGGTAAGAATTTAATGCTATTTTCCGACATTATCCTACTTAAAGGGATGGATTACAACTCCTTCACTCCCATTAGTGGATCACATTGGGGTGGATGTCCTGAAAGATTTGGATCACTTTGATGATATCGTGTTGAAAAGTTCCATCATCAAAAAAGGAGTTTTATACATCCATATCAAGAGGGTCAATGGTTATTTGTAGACAACCCTGTCCTGGCGATGCTATTTTACAGCATCATTGCCATGGACTACGAGGAGAAAGCTACTACAGCAGTTTTTCTTCTCGTTGTCCATAGCAAAGATGGCGATTTCTAGTCGCCTTTTTGGGAATTTCTGAGCCAATCTTGACGTCTAGACTACTGAGAGCAGGTAACATGGGTATGGGGTTGCACGAGTCGCATACAGTACTTGGTGATGTTGTGATCTTCATACGAATACGTTGTACTCAAGGTGTATTCACAGTCAGTTTAGTACGACAGATTGAGGTGATTCCGCGTACTACTAAAGACGGGAACTACTGAAAGAGTACCACTACTCTCGTAATTCACTTCAGTCCTATTCCAGTCATGATACAGTGATTAGCGTTGGTATCTGGTTCGTTTCCGGGGCCGATGGGTGAAACTTGGGTCTTAGCTGACTTGTGTAAACTGGTGAATTGTCCACTGAGCGTCATCTCACTAGTGACATGACACTTGGAAGAGTCGCCCCCCCTCCAACTTGGATCACTCTGTCAGAGTCCGATCCGATACGGTCCGAACAAGAACGACTCATTTCTTCATTTGGCTAAGGTATCTGGTTCGTTTCCGGGGCCGATGGGTGAAACTTGGGTCTTAGCTGACTTGTGTAAGCTGGTGAATTGTCCACTGAGCGTCATCTCACTAGTGACATGACACTTCAAAGAGTCGACCCCCCCCCCCTCCAACTGGATCACTCTGTCAGAGTCCGATCCGATCCGGTCCGAGCAAGAACGAGTCATTTCTTCATTTGGCTAAGGTATCTGGTTCGTTTCCGGGGCCGATGGGTGAAACTTGGGTCGTAGCTGACTTGTGTAAGCTGGTGAATTGTCCACTGAGCGTCATCTCACTAGTGACATGACACTTCAAAGAGTCGAGCCCCCCTCCAACTGGATCACTATGAGAGTCCGATCCGGTCCGAGCAAGAACAATTCATTTCTTCATACTGAGTGCATACTGTACTGTGTCTGCACGAGTAGATCTTGCGACAGTAGATAGCGAGTATGACCACCAAGTGACTGCGTACCAGTACTGAAGCTACTGTAGAAAATTCCTCGGTACTCGACTAGTCAGTGCGTCTTCGCCGCCATTTGGATATTCTACCACCTGGCCTGGAAAGCTCCATTAATTGTTGTTGAACGCGAGCAAGACTACTACAGTAATGCAATGATGACTCTTTGGATTGGCTATCAATAAATGAATCATCAAGTAAGTATTTGGAATCGGATTTATCCATGAAAAGTATGCTTGAACGAGTTGTATTGGCTTTGATATTGATTGAAAGCCAACGTTGAATAGACTGGATACAAATCGTTAGCAAGGTAGACGGTATAAACATGATGGAAGTAGGGTTTAGTGGTATGGACACCTTTGATCATAGCCAATTCCATTTTGAAATATGAGCGATAGAGAAATCATCTTGGAAAAGTCTTCCAATAGTCGATAGATGGATCCTGATGCAAGTCTATCTTGCCTGTGTGTCCCTCACATCCTTTCCTCAACCATTGTCTCCCTAACGCTAATAATATTATGGATTTGATGGGATTGCATCAAGAATGATGTTATATTATTGTGTGTGCATAGATACAGTATATTCTATATTCTACACAACAGACAGTAGGATAACTAGTCTAAATGAAACAAATGAATGAGTCTGCAATGGTGGCTATCCTATCCTTGCTGAAAACTAGCCATCAGTAATGGCTGAACAAACCAATCTCTTGTTGGAAAAGGACTAAATCTATCCTATAATGTTATTCAAGACTAGCTAACCAAAATCTCCATGCAATGGTTGCTAATGTCGCCCACAGTAGGTGTATACGAGTTTACCAGCTTTTCGTGCGTAGCTAAGAGCTCAATATATTTGTACACACGCGTATTGTTATAATATCCTCTATGCTTCGTCGCCATTAAATCTATTTTGAGCAACAGTACCATTCATTCGTGCAAGCCATGTTGTAATACGATGTTGGCCACAGCTTACCCAACAATAACACTCGAAGTTGAGATTCAATAAGGCAATAAAATTCAAGTTAGAATCTTATCCATTTGTTATCAAGATTCATTCTGATTGAATAAAGAGTTTTTAAAAAGGAAGCAGTCTATAAAACTTGAACTCAAAAATTAAACTATCATTTAGACTTTACTCTTTTCACTGTAGTTGTGACACCAGTCCTATTGATAAGCTGTAATTAATTGACCAAGCATGCATGATATAATAGTACGAGACATCAAAAGAGACGATTTGTCTGTGATATTAACATGGATAAACTTCAATAGTCTAATTTAAAATCTCTTACATTTGTATAGTGTTTATACCGCCGTATATAAATAACGTCACGTTTGTCGTTATTAATCCAGATGAGATTTTGATTTTATTTTTGTCTATTTTTGCACTTCATTAAAATTGTCAGTACTGTACAGTGTACAATCATGTCAGTGTAAAATAATTGATCGAAGCAATCACCAGCAGTAAATAATTGAAAATCTGTATCGAATTTTGAATTTATCTACTCTCGTTACTTTCTTAACATTAATTGAAATCGATTTTGTCCATCGCGTTGCGTAGGATTATAGAGAGCAGCCAAAAAAAGCAGGATATGGCATCGACAACAAATAAAAGCACCTCGTCGAATAATTTCTCTCATTTGCCAAAGAGACCTTTAGGGAAAGTTCGTACTGATAACAGTCTTTTCTGGTCTGAAGAATACATTGAGGGCGATCCAATTGATTTATGGGGCCGAGTGATTGCAGATTGGGATGATTGCTTGAAGAAAAGGCCTAAATATATCAAAAAATTAGTTCGATATAATATTCCACAACCACTACGATGTTTACTCTGGCAGTTACTGTCTGGGGCTGATAAACAAAGATACCTTATCGAAGGTTATGCTGATTTACTGAAGGTTAGTAAAGTATAAGAATCTTCGGTAAATTAGAATAGTTTACTTTATTAATAATTATTGCGACAAAGTTAAATCTAATTAAATAGGTAGACTGAGCATTATTCATAATGCGTTGTATTCGATCGGCTATCTTTTCAATTAGGAAACGTCTCCTCACGAAAAGACGATTAGAAGAGACATTGACAGAACTTATCCTGATCATCCTAAATTCAGTAGTCCAAATAGCCCTTTACAAGAATCTATGCTTAATATTATGAAGGTTACAAACAAAAAAATTATAAATAACTTTTACTGAAATTAGATAAATAAACTAAATCGAAAGCTAGTAATATTTAGGCAATCAATTACCATATGAGTGTGATATTTCTAATATTCTTTCTCAGGATAATATTCCTTTCAAGACGTAGAATTCTTAAGCTAAAATTCTTTTCATTCTTAATATTCATTTACAAAATCGTGCCTAGACTTTAGACAGTGTGTACTCCTGTGATTTATACCTTTTTTCTATATGTAAAAAATACTATTGTGCTTGAATGAGACAATCATTTTCTACTGTTATCCTACTCAACAATGTGCTCACTTTACAAATACACTGTTACCTATGAACATTCTGTAACGCATAATTAATCTTTTTTTTGAATGCAGGCATATTCATTATATGATAAGGAAGTTGGCTATTGCCAGGGAAATGCATTTATTGCCGGCTTATTATTGCTTGAGGTGATTTTAATAGAGATACGTATACCTGTATTGAGTGTAAATACTTGATTACAATGTAGTGCATATTACTAGGAATTCTTACACACAGTGTATAGTTTTCAGCTTCAAACTTGAATTATTTATTCAATTGTAATACGAGACCTTTGCTGTTGGTATCGACTTAAATATTATTATATGCTCTATTATCATATGCTCTATTCATGTAGATGCCAGAAGAGGAGGCATTTGCTGTATTTGTGCAAATAATGAGGAAATATAACATGCGTGAATTGTGCAAGCCTAATATGGCAGAATTAGCCGTCTGTATGTACCAATTAGAATGCTTGATAGAGGTAAGTATTCGTTTAAATTTCCGTAAGTAGTAGTAACTTACAGTAATTTGGACTCTGAAACGTTGATCGCTCCAAAGTATATAAATTGATGTTTGCATATTGTGATATCTTTAATCAAGACGAAGCTTTCTTGCAAATTTCAGTTGATAGCATCAGTTGATCAAAGATAATTACTATCTTGAAACTCTACCTTTGTTATTAATTCAAAGGTTTTTCTTAAGTGCCTAGCCGTGATGATGTAGTATTACTTGAAAAATACGACTGGGTTGTTTAGTAATCCCTTTTGTTAAAATTTTAAGCCAATACCTAAGTTGTGTATACGCTTAAATAGGCCATTTCATTTTTCATTCCTAGGAATTATTGCCCGATCTTCATGTCCATTTTCAAGCACAGGTATCTTTACCTACAGTTTACATAATCGTTCTACCAGCAATATTTTCAGAGTGGATAATTTATCTGGTCTTGTAATTTTCAATATTAGGGGTTTCGAGCTTCTGTTTATGCGTCATCATGGTTTCTTACTTTATTTGCGTCGACTGTCTCTCCTGACTTAGCAACTAGAATAATGGATTTCGTATTGGCTGAAGTAAGTAATTATAATTAAAGTCGATTTCTACTAGGATGCAATTCATTATGTACTACATAAAGCGAACTATGAACTTATGACGAATGTAAAAACACAAATTAATATAGGGACTAGAATTTATCTTTCGCCTCTCATTGGCGATATTATCAGTATGTAACAAAGATTTGCTTAAGCTCGATATTGAAGGCATGATTATGGTTAGTTTATTCTTACATCAACTTTTGTTAACATTATTAACTAAAAAATATGGAATTGATTTGCATATTTATATGGTACTAATCCTACATATCTATGATAGCACTTTCAGAAAGAATTAACAAAGTATGATAGCATTACCGTTCAGGTGCTATTTGATATGGCTTTTACTTTAAAAATAACTCCAAAAAAACTAAAAAAGTGAGCTCTTCTTTTTAAATAGCTAAGTAACTTCAATTAATTCTATCGTTTGGGACAAATCTTGAAGGGGCATTTGGGAAGTAGTCAAAAGTAATATCACTAAGAAAGTGTTATATAAATTCTTTGTTAGACTTGAGAAGGATTATCATACTAGAAAAGCTAAAGAAACTGGTGACGTTGAGCTAATGAAAGTAAGTCTTATGAAGTATAAATAAACGCCAGTATGTGAAGCACAGTTTGTGGAAAAATAAATGATTAAAGACGTCTTACATTCGCTGACCATATATATATAGACATTTATATTGGATATTTTCCTTTTCAATTTTTAGAAATTCCGGCGAGATAATACTGTGCTTATGCAGAAAGTAGAAGCGCTAGAAAATGTAAGAATTTTCTCTATAAGATGATATATTTAGCAAGAATTAGCTTAGTATTATACCGTTTATTTACTATTCAACTACTTTATGGGCTCTCAATTAGGAAAATGCCGCATTTGCTGAGAAAATTATACAGGTATAAATGATTACAGATTACTTCTTTGTTTTAAAGAATACGTTGCTTATTACATACGATCGGTTGACCAGTCTCATCGTGTTATCATCTCTTATTAGGGTACTGTAAACTATGCTACAACAGCAGAAGAATTGGAATTGCTCCATCTGGAGCTCTCCGAAACAAAAAAACGGGAAGCGGCAGCTCAGTCTGAGCTTGTTACTGCTTATAGCCAAATCGAAGAGTTGAAATCGAATGTGAGTCAACAAGAATAGTGCTGGTGTATTTTAAATTAGAAGTAACTTAGTGGATCTCATTTAACTAATATCAAACGAATTCATCTTTTAGTTGGAACAATATACACGTTTGGATGATATTGATATGAATGGTAAATCACCAGAAGAAATTGATATGATAACCCGTTTAAAGAAGCAATTATCTGTTTCTCAGCAAAATCAGGCAGAAACCGCAATTTTACTAAGAAAGATGAAAAAGCATGTTGATGATTTGATTGTAAATGACCCAAATAGTACATTAAAGTTAGAACTACGAAGCGCTAATGCTCGTGAAGTAATGTTGAAGGAAGAGCTTGTAGCTTTTAAAGATAAAGTAGCTGATCAAGATAAGAAAATTGATGCACTGGAAAAGACTGTAGAGGCGTACAAAGCAGAAATGCAAAGTGCTAATGAGAAAATAACAAAATATCAAGAAAAGGTATTGCAGTCTACATTACCGATTAACTAGCAGTATTATTGTTAGAAATTTTGAGGAATACTGTTACTATCTAGACTCCTCTAAATTTTAAAAAATGGTAAACCTACAACTTAGATACTCAGTTTGGGGTCAGCAGGAGAGGACGTTATTGCAAATGCTTCCAAGAAAACGGATACCGAGTGATTGGACATCTAGACAACTTAATCACAATTTGAATATATAATTTAATTACTTATGACTTTTTATACTGGGTGAGCTGAGAATACATATCTATATTATTCATATAATATGTGCCATTGGTTTAAATGCTGACGGCAATTATGATTTGCACGCAAATATCTCCATCATGCTAGTAAGAATTATCAATGATATCAGTATGTAGGATAAGAGTCCTATCTTTGCATTTTTTACCTACACAGAACGTATTATTTGTTTCTTTCGCGTTTCATAATTGAGTTCACGAGACTATTATTGTATAATTACCTTTACGATAAAACTGTTATTTTATTTTCGATTTATATAAACCTTATGATGTACTGTACTTTGTACCTCACTTGATATGTTATTAAAAATTTTTTGTTAATATTGTATTGTTTTTTGTAATCTTGATGAACACTCTTATGTGATCTGTTACAATGCGTATTGAATTATTGTAAGTAAACGGACACTGTATTATCCAGACTTAGAATGTAACTACAGTAGTAGGTTAATTAGGATTCTCTCTCTATATAAATACGTATATACAAGTATATACAGTAGAATTGCTTTATGTCCGCTTATATTCATTTACAGTTTAGTTATAGTAAATTATAGTTTACCGAAATTATCGTGATATCATTTTTTCCACGATATACCATCTGCTAGGCTTTAGATTAATTTTATGCTGTAGACTACTTAAAATTTCGATATTGAATTGTATAAAGTATTATTGCAGTCTCCTTTTCCTCTCAACTAGAAAGGAATGAGATTGATATACTCACCAATTGATAATGTATGCATAACTTTCGTGTGCTGAAGAAATGTGGACATTAAGTATAATAACTGATGTATTAGTTTTTGAGATGTGTTGGTACAACTCAAGGCACATGTTGCTATATGTTTGCGCGTAAGCGTATAAGTATATACAGGAGACACGATCTAAATGACACTATCAGTTAATCTATCTTAAATTTATTAACCTGGTAAATACGCTTTTTTGTTTATTTTATTTTTCATCTGGTATAACATTCCTGAGGCAGAAAAAGAATTGTGCAATATCAATTTGGTTTTATGCGCACTAATAATTTAACTTGCTACACTATAACTTATATTTACACTGATATGAAGGAGCTAGTGAGGATCAAAATAAAAGAATTCAACTTAGGAATATCGGCGTTAACCCTCCATTTTCTTTGTGGTAATAAGAGACTGCCACTAAAATGTGAAACTAGAGTAAAAGGTTCATACCTCCTAGTATAGTAGAATAACACTTTTGATGGCAAGTAACTATTCCTACACTATAATTATACTTGCTACCATGAACTTTTTAAAACTATTCCTGTATAACTGTACTTATGATTGCATATTTGAATATTAAAAACAATTTGCCAATTTGTCTTCTGGTTTCAGTTGTAAATAATCACCATAACTTCCTTGGCACTATATGTAATAAAGCAAAGTTTTAGCACTGACTGGACAGAAGGCAATACCTCTGGCAGTGCAGCTGCAAACCAGTGTTAAGCCGGATCGTTGCGTATACTGTTCTGTGTTTCTCATATGCTTACCACATGCGGCTCTTCAATGGTACTGTGATTGACGATAGCACTTTGTGTTTCTCTTTTAAGTTTATGGCAATAATTAATTACTATACAACCACATATAAAACCTCTATATGGCCTAGAATTACGTACTGTGTCGTTCTATAGCAATGACATAGGATACACTCACTGTTTGCGGCAAATACGATATTATACACGATGTGTAGGTTTCAGATACGTCTATGAATTTTATTATGCCGGCTAGTTGCGAGCTTCGGATCTTACTATGTAATGTGTATAAATTATGTAATTAATGTGCAGCTGGGTGTACGGATTCGGCTGGTATAGCAATAATTTCTATATAACTACTTTGTCGGGAGATTGAATATCCTCAATGCAAATGCTCTATGCATATTTACTGTGTTATGCTCTTCATACGAGTATCATGCTTGAATTCAGCTTGTCAACGATATTGCGATTGCCGTGAGCTTAGGATAGCACTTACTGGTGGACGAAGGATTTTACTCAATGAGTTCAAAATAAACTTTCAATTTAGTCATCTCCATCTCTGACTCTCTTCTATGACGTGATCAACGAGATTCAATGAATGAATAATTTATTATCAATTAAAAATGTTTCATTTTGGTACACGAGTATTATGAGAGAACTCAATATCCTCTATTTCATGCTTGCGTCTGTATTCAATTCTTTAGTGATATTGCGGTTAGTAGTAGGCTCACGAGAGCACTTTCACTTGACGACGTATTACTAAATAAGGGCAAAATAAATTGAAGATTCCTTTCTGGTCAGTTCTAGACTGTATCTCGTATATTAAATTGGAATGAAAGAACAACTGCTTATCCTGAAATTGACCTAAATACAAACACGATATGCTACAGTACCGCAGTTAATATATAGCATCTGTATTCAATTTTTCAATGATACTAGCTTGCCCGGATTGCTTCGCCGTGTACATTATTACTTTGCATTGACTGTACGCCTATCCCACTCAGTAGTAGGCCATGACTCTAAAATTTGATCCTTACTTTACAGTATAATACTTCGTGTTAATAGTCTCCACGGCGAAGCATGCCAGACAAAGCTAGTTCTATTAAATTAGAATGAAGAATGAACCGGATATCTAAAATTGACCTAAATACAAACACTATGTTATACTTCATTAATGCTTTAACGAGGCATTCCTAAATGAATCCAAAACAACCTATATTTACAGTTACAAATATTTCATTTTGCTCCATTATATTAATGAATGAATTCTAGCGCTCTAAATGAAAGAATTGCATGTCCTGAATTGATCTCAATACAAACACTATTTTCTATCATTATAATTATGCTCAATGCAGTCTCTGTATTCAATTCTTCAGTGATATTGCCGCTAGTAATAAACTCAGGCGAGCACTGCAATACTTTAGTAAATTAGTATTACTAAATTTGGGGTCAATAATAAACTCTAAATTTAGTGCTACCATTGGCTTTATGAAATGACGTAATGAAAGGGAAATGAAATTGATATTTGGAACCTTTTCTTGCCGTCCTACCAATGTACCCATACAATACAATCACGCTATACAGAATTAGTGTATTGTAGCCTAGGACTTGGTCAACTTTTGGATGTGCTTATGTAATGACTCATGGGGTTATTTATAGCAACTGCTGGATTCGAGATTTTTGTTCTAGTAGTAGCGCAATCATCCCGCCACTAATTAGGTCCATAATGACTGTCACCACTTGAATAAAGTTTTTTTGCGGAGGGCTGCAGCCGTAGGGAATCTTGGTTAACAGCTCCCCCAAAAATGAAATAAACTAGATACTTTAAACAGTCGACGTATGCCAAAATGTGAACTGATGAAGCGATCAGTAGCTCCAGTATACGCATGGTGTTTATTAAGTTGTTTTAGCAGACTTGTGCTCCATTACTGTGCCATATCGAGACAGTGAGTTGACTACAGTGCAAGTGTTTAAGCAGGGGGCTTTTAAAAAATGGACGTTATTCTGTAGTTCTAGCACTATCCATCAATCTTTTACAATGTTTTAAAGGTAAGAAATCGCTAGATTTTTGAAAAAATTGCTTCTTAAGGAGTCAGCATTAGCGAATTCATTAAGGAGAGGAAGAAAACTTTGATAGAAATCCCTGGTTTAAGACACTCCTGAGGGGCACAGTATGACCTCGTAACGTCACTAGTCGATTGGTTTCCGTTTTGTAATTACTGCACTATTATTATACTGTAGCGTGCAGTACAATACTGTACATTGTACACTATGTTACAGTGTACTGTACGGTAAGCACACAAGCAGAGTACTGTACGGTATTGTACAGTACCGTACAGTATGATACCGCAGCCTAAGAATTGCATGATAGACATTGGCGGTGCATGTACAGTACCATACTGTACAGTACACTGTACAGCACATACAGTATTAAATTCTCCTTCTCACCGCAGCCAGTCTATTTCACAACGTCACAACATTTGGCTAGTCAATCAGTGTGGAAAATTTTTCATTAAATTAACGTACATTATTACTAACCTCCATTGCCCTTGCTAGCAATTATGGAATCTTTTCAACGCTTTGCTAACGATGCCGCTACGGCTTTCTCTCGTGCTAGACAGGTAAAATGATCATTTAACAGCGTAATCATGGAATTTTTCGTCTATGCTTATTGATCGATTGAACAGGACACTCGAGTGGATAGTCGCTGCTCTATACTGTAGTACTCTCTTCCCAACACTACTGTCTTTCACACGTCCTTTTTACCCCTCGGATTGTCAACTTAGCTACAATGGCTGTACTTATTTAATAACAACGCCAGACTAGAAAGACATAAAAATTCACGTCTAGAGACGATCAGCAATCAGCGATAGTACAGTATATGGAACAACATAGCAAAAGTGTTGTATAGTAAGTTCAATTCTCTGCAACAGCATTAATGAAACTAGTCAAAGACACTCTCGACAGTAATGGCTCAAGGGTTGGAATTTCACCTTTCCTATTTTCCATTGCATGTATCTAAGTATATTTCATGATAACCTACAGTACATTTCCAAGTATAAATGAAAGAATCAACTGTTATATCGATAGCCCCAACTAGTATAACCAGTGAATTTTTTCTCTGCAGTGCGTTGAAAACACAGACATTTTTTTGGCTACTTCGGTTGTTCAACGGATGACGTTACTGTCGATGACGCACAATAATACTGTACAGTGCACAGTGTCTTGCGTCGGCTTAGTATCACAATACTGCTGTAAGTAATGGAAGGCTATGGTAATACTGTAGCTACACTACGTGGCTACATGCTAGGATCGACTGGTGAGAAACGCCTTAACTCAATTAAATTGTCAATCGAACGTTGGATCGATCGCTTATTTGAATTTCTTGATCATTTCTAAAGCCGTGCTTGTCATCACTAGGTAGAATGATTGCGATCAACCCAATCTATTCAGCATATACAGTTGTTAAAATGATAAGAGCCCGTTTTGGGGGTGCTTGTATACTGTAGAACATGAAATCTTCATACATCACTCATGAACAGTGAGCAATATGTTACATCCGTCCAATAACGAGAAGAACACCATCAACGTTGTAGATAGTGATCAACATTGTTTCAATTTCATCAATCTCTGATTTTTAATTCTGGGGGTTAATAGGAGTATACTTTTATTACCACACAACAACAGTGGCATAGAGTAGCATACCGAGGATAAAATGACATTCACGCACATCATGTTATTACACCTAGACAATATTTACTGCCATGTTCGTTGACACTACTAGTAAAGCTACTAATATTAGATTAGAGGGGAAGAGTGTGGTATGCACTTGGAAAATCCAAAATGATTGGATGGATAATAAAATTGAGATGAGAAATATTCGACTATTTTTCTCATTCCCATAATAATTCTACTATGAATGATCATTTTATCTCCATTACAATACAATCATTTGTATCAACTTATCAAAAGTACTTGTAAAATCATGAACCACAATCGTACACTGTGTTGCTTTTACTTTCATATCCCTCAAATAACTACATCGATTAAAATTATATATTTACTTTGCTATGCTATAGTATCCTTGTAATCGGATGAAAGACAGAGCTAAATCAGTAGATCAATATCTCTTCAATACATACAAAAAATGACTTAGAATATAATCGTGCATCATTAGTCTACAATGCCATCATCGATCTTGTTTAGAATGATAACCGCAGTATTATTCAGGCAATTGATCGATCAGATGACTTGAAAGATTATTGTTACTATTTGGATGAGTAGTAAGCGTATCATTTTCTTGGATATATCTAGTATACTGAAGAGAAAATTGGCCATTCAGAAAAGACTCAATACGATCCTCAATTTGAAAATTTACAACGTAGAGCTGATCGTACCAAAGTATGGACTGAAAAACTCTGCAAACAAATGGAAAATGTTCTACAGCCTAATCCAAGTAGGTGGATCAAATAATCACTATTTTCTTTGTCTTGATTTTGGGTCTCAATAGCAATCACTTACTCGGATTAGTCTTACGATCAAGCCGAATACACTGGACCTGATCCAGTCTCTCTATAGTAAAGATTTCGCTGTTTATTACTTTCATTCAAAGAGACCAACTTTCCATGTTATACGCTAGATGAGCATACTAGCGTCTTTCTCTTATTTGTACAGATCTTTAACTGGAATAATACAACTTGTATTACCAAATTAATTATTAATGAATCCAATTTGTCCATGTAGACTTGTTACGATTAATTATGCAAGTTTTGATAGCTTTCATGTAATAGTAATTGATTGTATTGGATATTTTCTAGCTGTAGCAATTAAAGTAAAAATTATATTTTAATAATAGAGGATAAATCGTGGATGATTGACTTTTGATCAATTCATCCTAACTAGATGAGCACACTATTTCTAAATTTTCTACTCTATTTTATTGCTTTTTTTTTGTTGATAAGAAGTCGTTAATAACATCGGTACAGTTTTTTGTAATATCATACCGCTATCCGATCATTCTAAAAGAATTGCAAATTTGTTATCTCTATAGAATAACACTGACAGTTGACTAAAACTATTGCAACAAATGCGTATACTTATAGTCATGCTCGAATACTGTACCTTATGATTTGATACTACTCATATACAAGTACGATAAAAGACACATGTTATCTTTATTTGCTTACTAGCTGTTCGAATGGAAGAATTTTTCCTTGAAAAATTGGATAAGAAAAAACGTCCAAGATTGACGAATCATGAAGTTCTTGGTCAATTAATGACAAGTGCTGGCAATGATTATGGACCTAACACTGCTCTTGGTAAACTTACTTACTAGTGTATTATAGGGACCAAGTTAAATAATTTTTAGCCAAGCTCTTTCTGTCAGTATTGCCTACCAAGTAGTAAACACATATGATACGGTGTTTCTAGTCCTAAATTTACAAAGAATTTTTTAAAAACTTTCGGTACTTTTACTAATTAATTATAATCAGGACCACAATAATGTGTTAATATACCGTACTTCGTATTATAACTACAGTTAATATCATTCAATAGCTTCAATAAGTTATTTTTCATCTGAAAGTTAATTATTTTGATCATGAAAGTAAAATTTGAATATGAAGAAAAAATTATCACCTATTAGGTCACAAAGTAATCGTAATTATATTGTAAATATTACCATTTATGCGTACAATGGCGCGCTGATATTCTAAAATGGCGTCATGATTTTAAAATTCTGAATGATTTCTCTGTTAACTTTACCATAGGTGGTGCTTTAATTAAGGTCGGAAATGTGCAAGCAAAGATTGGTTTATCCGAGAGGGAATTTGTTGAAACTTCCGCTAGAAAATTTATAAAGCCATGCAAAACCTATATAGAAAATGATTGCAAATCTATCAGCGTATGTAATAAAATATGTTTGGTCATCCTTTCAATTTTGTTCTATCATTATAGTTATCAATGAACTGTAGTAGTATTCAATCTTATTGCAAACAAATTATACACTTGCCTTTAATACTATCTACGAGCATAATAATTATAATAAATCCGCTAAATAGATTCTTATAGCATTTCAAGACACAATTTCAATTTTTTACCTGTACCAATTTTACTCTACCTTTATAAATCCTTACTTTCCAACTGTATGACATACGTTACCTTCCACCTTATTATACGCAGTTATTGACCAATTTTTTACTTATAATTTTGTATTTGGTCACTAATGTTATAATAGCAGTGTAGCACTTGAAAGATATCCTCTGAAGTCGTAAATTTACTTCGGTGTTAATTCTGTAATACATTACTACCCATAGACTAAAGATTATACAGTGGAGAATTCTAGTTTACTCCAGATTAAGTTGATTGTTTATTACAGAATGATATCTATGTAATTTGCTTGTTATTTGTTCTAAATTCATAATATTATTTTAATATTTGATATCACTTGATAAATGTAGAAAGAAAGAAAACTACTCGCTGTCAAGAGATTAGATCTAGATGCCTGTAAGAGTAAATTAAAGAAAGCTGTCAGTACGGAAAAAGCTCAAGCGGTAAGTTAAAATTTCTTTTATTCGTAACTAGTTTCCTTTTTATGATTCTTGTATTGGTTGTATAGCTGGCGTTAGTGGCTAATACAAGATAATTTATTCGTTTATATTAGTAATACGCTTATGAAATAATTAATTGTAAATTGTAATTAGATAAAACTACTACATACGTAAGATTTACTAGTATAGATTTTAGTTTCAATTTTTGATTTAGTTTTACCGGCCAAGAACAGCGTTTTATTTTCATTCCTTCTATTGTACATTTAAATGTAACTTACAAAGATACAGAAGATAATGATTATGATACAAATGCAACGATATCAATGGCTTACAATAATTCTTAAACGACAGTTAGCTATTCTTGTAACGTAATTAAAATACCAAGTTTTTGTAATACTGCAGGCTGATAACGATTTACGTGCTGCACAAAGTGAATTTGATCGTCAACATGAAATAACAAAGTTGATGTTGGATGGCGTTGGAAGTACACATGTACGTGTTCTGAGTGGCTAAAATGCTGGGAAACTTGTTATTTATTTTGTATATAGAATCACACTTTACAGTCCAAAATAAACAAACCGAGAATTGCATTCTAAAATACTACTAGTAGACTTGTAGTGTACAATATACTGTAAACAGTACTACACAAAGCAGTATAAGTTACGTGCTATAGTATCACAATTGTAGCGAGCTATACATATTTTGTAGCATAACTTGGTTCTATTTTATTGAAACAAAATACACTAAATTAGTTATATTAAAATTTAGTAAATTGCCGCACGAATAACGTTATAAACTTACACCTGCATATATGAAAAATGCGGCTAATTTTACAGTATTTGACGTCATTATTGATCATTACTGATATATTGCAACCTACCGTATTGTATTACATGGTAAGATCTGATTACCAGTGTCAGTTCTGGAATGCAACTTATTGATTCATAAGAGCATTCTGTTTTTAAAAAATGTTCATAAAGAATTTAACTTCTCTAATTTAATTTTTTATTTTCTCCTTTATATAATTATCTATCGGAATACTGCAGACCAATCAACTCCGTAGTTTAGGAGAATTTGTTGAAGCACAACTTAAGTATTATCTTACTAGCTACCGTGAATTGATCGAGTTGCAAAAGCAATTAAACAGGTAGAGATACGTTTTCTTTATGGCAATATATTGTTTTTAGCCGTAGTCAACTGTGAAAGTTACAACTGTAATTATTGATAGCATAATTTTATAACATTTAATGTGTAGATCATCATATAATAGACGGAAAATCGTTGATTTTTTAAATTGTGCTATAGGAATTATGATAATATCGTATAAAATATAAATAGAGGATTTAAATATAATTTGATAATTTATATTAATAATTAGGTAATTTATTTGGTATTCTGGTAGTACGAGATTTATTTCTCATCAATGCAGTATAATTAGTATTGGCTATTAATTGGTTTATAACACTTAATATCAATGCTGCTTACATCCATCTAATTAAATATCAATCACTTCCCCAATCGTCTTTATACTGTAGCACCGACGCATTTGCACCTAACGCCACTGTTGGTACAAACTCAACTTCTAGGGACGATATCGCTAATGAAGAAATGTCTCCATTGAAGCCTGCGGTTAATGTAGCAAGTCGTGCCAAAGTACTATACGATTATGATGCTGCCAATGCTTCTGAATTAAGTCTATTAGCAGACGAAATTATTACAGTTCTTGCTGTCCCAGGTATGGATGAAGACTGGATCATGGCTGAGAGAGGCAATCAAAGAGGCAAAGTTCCAACAACATATATCCAGATATTGTCTTAAAATTGACTGTATGGGCGTTATTAGCAAAAACATTATCCCTTGTAGGGTTCATCTATGGTTTAAACTAGGAAAAATAACAAATTAAGTCATCAGTATCTGATATGCTAAGACTAAAAATACTACTACGACACGTACTCGTACAATATCATCGCATGTACTGTATTGTTATTAATAGGCATCGATTCTACGGTTATCATTCAATTGATGTTTTTTAGTTGTAGAAAGTATATTATAGTTTATTAACACCTAACTAACAGTAACCATCCATAATACAAAAATATTGATAAGTTTTTGCTTCAGCCGAGTATATAGTATTACGATAATTCTATTTTTAGATCGACATACTTGCATACAGTAGTATAGTACGGTAGGATGTGATAGCAAAATGTTTTACCGTCAACTGATGAAAAGTTTAGATTTAACTCTAGTTATTTTCATTGCAAGGCATATACATAATATTAACTGTTATACTGTGCTGTAACAATTTACTGTGTTGTATAATCAGTATATTTACGCATATACATATATATAAAAAGGTGCATGCAAAATTTATATATATGTACTGTATATGCGTCGCAAAAAGTAGAATGCAATATTATGATACCGTTGAGGAAGTAGTTTTGATCGCAGATTTTATAAAATCGGTAATTTAAAATTTAATTGCCACCTTTCCTCTATCGTACACTATTTCAATGTATAATGTACTATGAACAATTGGATATTCAGTAAATTTATTGTTGTAATCAAGTATCTAATGCAGAGTAATCAGTAGTATTTTACAATAAGCGTGCATATCTAATAACTTTTGATATGTGTTTTATTGATTATATATTTCCTGAAAGTATGTGCAATATTATTGGTGAAAAGTAACAATAGTACTGCAGTGAATTGTTACAATAGCCTACAATGCGATAGTGCATCGCATGTAGGGAACATATTTGTTATTATTTACATGGCAGGGATCAATATCGGAGGAAATAAAATGAAATGCAGCAGTGCTACTTGTTGAACTGTGATATACCGATTAAATTATTGTTAAACTACATAATTTTATAGATAATGTAAGCAATCTGCAATAGCAAAATTTGATTGCACTCTTATATTAAGCTATTAAAAACTTAAACGATGCGAATTCGAATTTTAATACAAACACAGCATGATTTTTAAAGTAAAAGCTGTCGATCTTCATTAAAATCAGTAAAAAGATATAATGATGCAAGGCTACTGTAGATACTCGTATAGCGTAACTAGTGTACGCAACTTCCGAATTCAGATACTATTAACTAAGCTACTTAACAATAAATAACATGTATTTAAATCTTGCATTAGAAATAGAGGAAGAAATTAGATGCTCGTACAAAGGTAGTTTGTTTAAACTTTGTTGGTCATTAAATCTATGTAAAACAGTCTAATATTAAATAGTCTTTAATTTTCAGCAATCTACTTCTCGCGTCTTTTTTAACTTTTAAGAGGTGATTGTATTGGAGATAGAGTAGAATTGAGTGTATCACTGTTACCAAAAACGCTGGAGTATGTTGATTTTAGGAAGGAGACATAATTTTGCATAGTGCGTGTAGTGTTGTTCGCTTGTTCAAGGCGATCCTTCATATCATTGAGTCTAGAGTTGCACTTTCTTTCCGCCTATATATCAGTTAAAATTATCATGGATTTCATAAATGAACTTGTTTCTATAAATAACTATAAACACGATAACTAGCTAAAAATAATAGTTTGCGCAAAAATATTTCAGCAAAATGTCATCACAGCAATATCAATTACATTACTATAAATTATAAATAGTCGAATACAGTAAATGCAAGATCAATAAATCTAACCTCTTCTTTTAATCGTTTGTATTGGACATTGGTATTGTTAAGCTTATTAATTTCTCCTTCTAATTCAATTATTCGCTTTTGTGCTTCACGATCCTGTTAACCATGGACATCAATATTTTCAAAAACATTAGCATAAAGGTTTGATATACGCCACATGATAATTATAACTGTATTATGCATGAAAAATTAGCGTTTCGTATAACTTTTGGCATACTTTAGCAGTAAGACGTTCCCGTTGCATCTCCGATTGTCTCCTTGCATCGGCCAATGCAGTTTCATATTGTCGAATATTGGTTGTATGTTCCCTGGTTTTCTCATCTAACCGATCCTAATATAAATTACACCGGATAAAAGTGATATAAAAATAGATCTTTGGACAATTTCAAAGTTATAGTATTTTAATGCATAAATAACGTTCTCATCGTGAATAGATATACATACAATATTGTTATCAACTCAAATTTAGTTTATCTAGAAAATGACAAGCATGGACAATATGAAGGCCTTGATATCTAGTCATTCTATCATATCCCAATATCCAGATATTTGATTGAAAAATACTCATACAGACATTCAGATATGAAGTGATGATCCTATGCCGTAACTATCTACCTCCATTTGTTGAATAGTATCTTCCCGCTTGTTAACCAAATTAGCGTAATCACGATTCTGTTGTTCCAAGTCTTTAACTTTCCTAAATTACACAAATATTTACATCAACTGTGGTGCAGTGTACGTACTAGTTCATAAAATTTTGCACGATACATGATAAGTTGAAGCGCTGGGTTAGCTCAAGGATTGGAATCGACCGATTTAAAATATGAATTACCTATTCAAATTTTCTATTTTCTCCTGATGACCTTTACTCTCTTCGGTTAATGTATACGATTTTAGCTTAAGCTCACTGGCTTGCGCCATTTGAGTGTCATATTTATTTGTTAATTCTGCATTTAATTTCATTTGATCCGTTAGACGTTTTTCGTAACCGACAATTCTTTCTTGTGCTTCCTGAAATCGAATCTCTGTTGTCTATATCAATATATATAATTTACATAATAATTATAATCAAAGAGTGATTTATTGACCCTAATCGCTATTAATGGAAACTAATATTCCTTCATACTTTGAGCAGATCTGGTAAAGGTTCCAGTTCTGATAAGCGCTGCTGCAATTTCATTCTCATCTGCAATTATAATAATATAATACCCATATGAATTAAGTGAGGTAATAGTCTTTATTACATATTCTCATGAAAGGCTAAGAATGGATTCTTATAGGGCGCTTTGGCCGCAAAGACAAGCGATTATTTATTTATTTGACTATATAGCAGAAAGGCTACAATGTCCTATAGATAATACTATACCTTTTCCATTTCAAAGACACCTTCTTGCTGCATCTTGGAACTCTCCTGCTCCTGTTTATGTAATCGGATAGAATGCTCATCGACATCTTGACGATATTTTTCAATCTAGATAAACATAGTCAATAACATCGTTATCAATATAAGGAAATCTATTTCTCAAACCAACACGTACGAGCAAGTGGAAAATATTTGTATATTTAAATTGGGAGAATGTTAGAAGGAAACCCTTACAAAATATTCTCTTGTCGTTAAAGTTACCTGAGATTTATAGTCTCCTAACAATTTTTCATATTGCTGGATGCTACCTTGCAGTTGGCTTATTTCCTGCTGATTTTTAGATATCTAACCCGAAGAAATTCGTCAAATGTTTGGATCATCCGTTGCCATCAAATATGCCCGGAAATATGTTAATTTTACATTAGGACAATGAAACATGTCACATTTACTAACATGCTGATAGTCTTTAAGAAATTCTCTCACCTGCTGCATAGAAGCTTGTTCGGTCTCCTTCAGTTTATTTTCTAATTCAACGATGATGCGCTATCATATAGAATGGATGATTTGAAATTTAGAGTTAATAATGGGTGACAAAAAAAGGCTAAGAAATAATTACCATGTTTATATTCATCTTAATTAATTTAAAGCTTATACAAGAAAAACGTATAATATTAATATACTGTATAGCTGTTTTAGCTTTACCTTAAGTCTCTCAATTTCCGCTTTGAGTGATTGAATTTCAGTAATTTTATTTTCCAATTGCTGATTAATATTATTGATCGTAAGCTATAAGGAAGAAGGAAATGCTTTTATTATAATTTTATTATTAATAATTATCCTTTATGCAGACAGTTACTTGTAATGAAGATATAATAACATAGTATGCAGATGTTGTGCATTAAAGAAGTCAAAATCAGCCATTTCGCTAACTCTAGTTATTATAATAATAACTCGACTGCACGCTTACGCTATGAATTAGAGCTGAGGAGATGAGAATTTAACAAACTATATAGTTGTATATACCTTGGATGCTTCTTGACTATTTTCCCACTTTAACTTGATTTCTTCCTTTTGGCTATATGCAATCAAGGGAGAATTAGCTAATTTAAATATCAGGCTTGTGACATAAACAGCAAAGAACAATATTTAGTAAGTAAGTGATATATTAATGACCTAGTAGCTGTAATCATTTCCTTTTCTAATCGGGAGATTTCTTTCACTAATTTAGTCTGCTTAGTTCGTGACTGCTCTAAATTAGCAAGAGCTTCGGCCAATTGAGTCTCTTTTTCCCGATATTGGTTGTGATAAGTTTCTGCAGTATCCTGACTACGATGTGCTCTTTCCATATAGACTCTATCAAATCAAAAACAATCGAAAAATTATACTGAATACCTATAACTACTTTTCGTGAATTAGTCGGGTATAGTTATCTAAAAACATTGATGACGATTATTGATAACCTAACTCTCCATTTATAACTTAGAATCTTGGAATTTATTGATAATCGAACTTACTTTGCAGCTTTCTTTAATGCACCTTTTTCCTTGCTTGTTTTATCCTGTAATAACAAATGCAAATCAATCTATAAAAATATATAAAATCTATCGTATCTATGATTGATAAAGTATTTATAGTGCAGTGTTACAGTCTGGATAATAGTTGTATGAAATTTTTCAATAAATATACTGGCTAATCTCAAATATGAATTTTTTATATTACTTGTAAGGTAAGTTGGGTATTGTTGACATAAATATTTATTTTAAGACCGGAAATTTTAAAAGTTTATAGTAAAATTAAGCCGTAAAGTTTTTATTAGAAGTTTATGATTACCAACATCAATAAAAACAATCTATCAAAATATAAAGATAAACTATGATTATGAATCATATAGATATGAATATATTACATATCTGGTATCTTTAATGCACGTATAAAAATTTAAGATCTATTCACAGGAAGAAAATGGTGAACTAGTACACTGAATAGTTCACGTATTAGTTTTCTTGGTGGTATTGAGCTCTATCTTACCTTAGCAGCTTTCAGTAATCTTCTCAGCTGATCAGTTTCGTATTTTTCTTGTTCTAAATGTCTTTCTAAATTCTAATATAAAGATAGGTGTCGTTTAAAGGTGAAGATTGGTAATGATTAAGAAGTCTTATTAAAGAACATCTACCTGGATTTTGATATGCTGCATCTGCATTTCTTCTTTTCTGGAATTTAAATCCACTTCTAATTGCGCCTTTGATTTTTCGG